TATATATATATATATATATATATTATATGTAAGATGCTTCCTGTTTCGCTTTCGTATGCCTCCCAAGGGGCCTTAGCCCACTGACACGTTTCAAACAACTGTTACGAAACCAAGAGCTGTATCGCAAAGAGCCATCAATTAGTTTCTATTACACGCATAGAATTGTTTGTATTACGCTTAGGATGGGGCGGCACGACCACACCGGTGAGCCAAGAGCACTCTCACACAAAGCAGCTCGTGCTGCAGCGTAAAACAACACCACTTGTCCCCCCCCCCTTACGCAGAGTTGTTATTTGTTGAAATTGGAAATGGGCCAGTCTTACTCGCTCCTACTTCCGCATTACATCTTCTTCCCCTCCCTCCCTCGCTCACCACAAACACACACACACAGATAAAGNGGGAGAAACACGGTAGGCCTCCTTCGTTGGTACCCCACTTTGCCCGCTCCACGCTTGCACGCCCGCGTAAAACCACCACAAAAGCTTACTGTACACCATCTCCACATCACGACTCCGTGGGATTAGCAGTGCGGCATTGTAAACGACCATGCCGTTACACACACACACGCAGAGAAAACGCTCCCCACACCCCTCACTTCCGCCGCCGCTTCCCCTTCGAACCCCCCGTGCCGCAGTTGTCATTCTTGCCCGTCTCATGCACCTCGCCCTCACTCTCCACCTCCTTGCCTCCGTCGTCGTCATCCGTTTGGCCACCGAGCAGTGAGATGCTCCCGACCGCGTGGTAACGCGCCGCCTCCTCTGGGGAGAGGGCCTCGAAGTCCCGCGGCTTGCTGTGCGGGTTCTTCCGCAGGAACGCCATCATGCCCACCAACTCACTCATCGCCCACGCCTCGCGTCGCTGCCGTCGCAACGCGCCGTCCTCCAACATGTGAAGCCGGACTGCAACGTCATCGTCGTCCGCGACCGGCGCAAAATCGCCTGCGAGGCACAAGTGCTCTCCGATGAACTTCATCAGCCGGTAGCAACGGCGCGGCAGCACTCGGACGTTGCCTGTGTGCGGGCAAGGCAGCAGCAGCAGTGGGGACCCGCACACCGTTACGTCTTGCAGCAGAACTCCCGCCTGCCCGCACATTTCCCGCAGGTTGACGAAGGGCGTCTCCGACGAGACACTACATGGCCAGCCGTTGATGTGAACGAAGAACGCATTCGACTCATCTGCACCGTTCGGCGCGGCGGTGTCAACAGTGGGCAAGGAGCGCCCTCTATTGCTGCTGCTGGATGCCTCGCGCGCCCGCTTTTGTGACACCGCTGATTTCCTCCTAGCAGCCCCTTCTGCCATCTATTACCTCCTTCTCTACTGGCCACTGTATCTATATATATATGTCTGATTATATATACTCCCCCCACTCTCACTCTGAGTAAGAGAAGCTTTTCACTCCTGCTGACGGCTGAGAGAAGAATAAAACAACGTAAAACAGCAGCAGATATTCCTCTTCACGATAACAGCGTGCTCGGGGCACAGCGGCGCACTCCTCGTGCAGATGTAATGCTATGAGAATGACACAGCGTGCACGCAAAACACAACGGCCATGAATGATGAGAGCCACAACAATGGGAATAACAAGAACAACAACAATAGTAGCAACGGCAACCACATCCCGTACCTTTTCTGTCCGCCCCTCCCCCCTACTACTCATTCAGACCATGTCTCTTCATGCCCTGACCAGTACACCCCTAGCTCCGGGGTTACGAGCGCCATGCTGGGATCTGCTCCTTCCCACAGATACGAGGGATACTCGTCCTCCCCCTCACCCCCCCTAACCTCCACCATCCGCTCGCGCTGCTCTGTTGCCCACGTCGACGTTGCGTCTGACTGACCGCCGCTGCCACGGTGTTGCTGTTGCTGTTGCTGCTGCTGTTGTTGTTGTTGTTGTTGGTGATGGTGGAGGTGGTGGTGATGGTGATGGTGTTGATGATGATGACCGTAGTGGTGGTGGTGATGATGGAAGTGGTGCGTGTGGCGCGGCGGCGCTGTGTGGGAGCCACGCCGCAAGGCTGTCTCCTCCTGCACGTGCAGGGTCTGGGGATCCAACCGCGTTGTCGTCCGGCCCTCCGCCTGCGGGGCTGCAAAGTCATACTCCTCCTCGTCGTCCTCCTCACCAAATCCACCGTAGTTGAGCGCAGCCACCAGAACCCCAGAGCTCACACGCGGGCCGCCGGTGCTGCTGCTGGAGGCCCGCCGGTAGCGCCGCTGCCGCGGCGACCATGACGGGCGCCCCTCCACAGGAAACGTAGCGCTGCCGTCATCCTCTGCGTAGCCCCAGCTGCTGCGCGCGTGCTCTGGAAATACTGCTGTTGCCGCCATCACCGCTGTTGGTGGTGGGGCATGCGGGTCCGTGTAGCGCCCGGTACGGTACACCGCGTCGGCTTGCGGCGAGGAGGACGCCTCATCGTGGCGTGTACGCGTGTACGATGATGAGGCGCGACGGCTTATCGTACGCGTATGGCTCCCCATCGAGCGGTGTGCCGGCTGCGGCCGCGAATGGCCCACCGACGCGGAGGAGACGCGTCGCGGCAGCGAGTACGTCGTGCGCGGCCTCAGGATTGGAGTGTTGCTGTGGTAACGCAGCAACGCGTTGCAGCTGGCGTTGTGGTACGCGACCAGCAGCTGCGGGGAGTCAAGCGGCGAGCACGTGGACGCCATGAGAGGCGCGCCGCCAGCAACACGACTGGCAGCGGTCGGACTGTTGCCGCGCTGCTGCTGCTGCTGCTGCGAGAGTGGCGGTATGGCCTCAAACACGCCGCCGTCCGCGCGGGACGCGCCGGCCCCACTCCATGACTGCTGCACAAACGCGCCAAAGAGCTCCTCTGTTATCATCCTACTATACTATCAACAACCAACTCTGGCTGCCACGGCACCAGTGTCCACAAGGATGACGAGGGTGAGAAGAGGAAATGCATTTGCATTTAGGAATGCACACGAGACAACAAGACACATA